ATGACCTCATGGTATAATACATTCCTCCAGTAACTGGTGTGTTGAGTAAATGATTTGCTGTATTTTGTTTCTCTAATTGTTGATTTTTTTTTTCCTAGTGGGTTCTAATGAAATCAAATGGAAGCCAGAAACCATCTGCACCGACCTGTTCTCAGAGTATCCTGGATTAGAGGATTTAATGAAAAACCAAATCCGTCGGCTTAACAAGGGGGTGCTGATATTTTCGAGGAGTTGGGCCGTTGACATTGGACTGTGGAAAAACCCGAATGTTGTGTGTGACGTTCTCTTAGTAGCTGAGAACGCGTATCCAGTGCTGTACACCGTAGTCAAGGACGCCTCTTCTGCTGAGCCTGAAAACTCGAGAAGAACTGCTTATGCATTAAAGCAGAAACTGGTCAACGATGGGGGATACGCTTCAAAAGTGTGTGTGATTCCCCAAATACTGCACCTGAACGGCACAAGGAACCAGAGGGAAGTTGCAGAGGATGACTGTCCCCAGCAAGAAAACGGGTGTAGTTACACCAGCTTGTACCCAGAGAACTACATCCTCACCTCCAGGGACATCCCCGCCTTCCTGCGTGCGCTTGTGATCGTTGTGCTGCGCTTCAGGTCCTATTTAAGTGACCATCTTGGCTGTGAGATTTTCAGCCTTCTCACGCTCAAACAGTATGAGCTGCTCTCCAAGAACCTGCGCAAAGCCAAGGAGCAGTTTGTCCTTGGGCTTCCTGGAACAGGGAAAACAATCGTGGCTTTGAAGATCATTGAGAGAATAAGAAACATTTTTCGCTGTTCTGCAGAAGAGGTACTCTACATCTGTGAAAATCTACCCTTGAAGGAGTTTGTGGGGTAAGCAGTAACGTGTATTTTCTCTTCTTTTTCTTTCATTCCATCCTCTGTGCATACAGCACAAGCGCTGCCGGTTTTACGTCTGTTTGCCAAATGCATAACTTCGGCTGTCACAAACACACAATAATCATCTCCAGAAAGTTGTTAATACTGAAAGTATTATTGAGCTGAGCTCCGGCCCAGACCCAGCGTGCGCTGACCGCAGGGAGAATCCCACGTTCAGTGATCGCTGGATTGCGTTAGACCTCCCACGGACTGAGTTCCAACGGTCTGTTACGGCTGGTGCCGACACCGAAGCTGCCCACCTGCCTTCCTCTGTGGCTGCCTCCACGCTGGGCCTGATGCAAGCTCTTGTGCTGGGAACTGGCCTTTGGACCTGGGCCATCCAGACGAGGAGAACAGAAACTAATGCCCTTTTGGTAGAGGATTTCAGGCAGGGCAGTTCCCCAGTCCCGTTCTCGCTGCATTTCCCCTTGGGTCAGCGTGGAGAGGACAGCAGGCCACCGCGGGGGACAAGGCACCTTGCATGAGGGAACTGCCGCCTCGCTCAGGCACGGCACTGCCCCAGCAGCAGGTCCTGGCCCCAGCAGGCAGAAGTGCTGCCAGTCCCTGCTCACCCTGGGGAGAAGAGGGAACCCGTCCTTCCCGGGGGAGCTCCGGCACCACGCTGCGTTCCCTGGGCCGGGGAGAGCAGAGGGACACCCCTGGGGAGCCTTGCCATGGGGGCCCCATGGAGGAAGGGTGGGCCCAAGTGTCCTCCAAGGGTAGCTCCAAAGCTGGTTGGTGGGGGCTGAGCAGGCTGTGCACAGCCAATCCATGGGGATAAGTGTTTCCACTGGGAAAATGAGACAGCGTGCTGCAGCTGAGATAGGAAGTTCGGCATTTCTAGACAGCAAGCAGCAGTAGCCCTCCAAGCGAGACCCCGCTGAGCAATGGAGGCAGTCGATACAGATTTGTCTGGTCACATCTTCTTTTGATTTACCATATGGGTTTTTTTTTGGGGTTTTGGTTTGTTGGTTTGTTTTTTGTTTTTTTTTTAGAAATGAGATCTGCCAGTCTGTGACACGTGCTGCCTTTGTAAGTAGGAACTTCCCAGAAGTGAAACACATTGTGGTTGATGAAGCTCAGAATTTTCGTCCTGAAGAGAACTGGTACCAACGTGCCCGGGAGCTAGTCAAGAAAAAAAATGGGGTTTTCTGGGTCTTCCTGGATTTCTTCCAGTCCACTCACCCGTATGGCTGTGGTCTGCAGTTTTCAGAACTGTATCCTCAGGAATGGTTGACCAAAGTGGTCCGTAATGCCAAGCAAATATACAACGTCATGTTTAATCTAATGGAGGAAATCCTCCGAGAACGTAAGACGGATATGCCCTATGAGGTGCTGGAAGAGCTGTTTAAACAGGCTGAATGTGCCCATTCTTTGTCAGGTGACTACATCATAAAAAAAGATATGGGAACATTCGAAATGGCAGAGTACGTGGCCAGGCAGTGCAACAGCTACGTCCAGCAAGGCTACCCCATCAAAGACGTGGCGATCCTGTGCAGCACGCAGGAGGCAGCGCAGGTGTTCAGAGAGATCGTGGAACCTGAGCTGAAAAGACAGATGAGGAAATGCAGGGCGAGGCTGGTCTTGGGGCTAGCGGAGAATGTTTTAGAAAACGTCATTGTTGTTGACAGCATCCGACGCTTCTCAGGCCTAGAAAGGAGGATTGTGTTCGCCGTCCACCCTGTCCCTGCGCAAGAGGAGATCTCTCTCAATCTTTTGCTCTGCGTGGCATCCAGAGCCAACACCAAGCTCCATTTGCTGTACCACAAAGAAAAGATGTTCTTAAGAGACACGTCTTTAGGCAACAGTTTACTCTTACCTGGGGCTGGGGACACTAGAGTGCTTCGCTCGTGTTTTCTTCAGTGATGTTATGGGGCAGCCTTAGGATTTTTTTTATGCCCTTTCTGTAGTCTGTGCAAAAAAAAAAGCATTTTCATATATATATATATATATTTCATCACGTGTAGGCCTGTAGGATGTCATTAAATTGATTTTAATTAAAGGGCATCACCGCCTGGAGAGAACAAATTGCTGAGAATGGCAACTGCAGAAGGAAGTCAACAGTTATAAACTACTTGGACAAATCACAGAACAGTTTGGAGACTTGTACTTTCAATTCCTCTGCTCTCTCAGCTGATCAGACATTCTGAGTGTTTCAGCTCCAGTGTTTCAGCCCAACCAGAGTGGAACCACTGGTTGGAAATGCAACAGGGGTCACCCTTGTTTACGTCCCTGCTGGTGCTACTGCAGATGGTCAAAACTCTGCTTTATTCAGTGGCAGGGAGATTTTTGTGAATTTTCAGCCAAATCGTCTCTTTTCTCATCCAAAAAGATGCTTTTGGGAGTGATGGGGACTGTCTTCACCTCTGCTGGGAGCTCCATGGCTGTGGTTTCGTGGTCACACTGAATCATCTTAAATGCAGGTTTCTGCCCGTGGAGGCGGCTCTGCCCCCAGCAGTACAGTCCCAAACTTCTCATGAGCAGGCTCAGGTGTGCAACTGGGTAGTGAGCTGGGAACTCGGGTTGGGGTTTTTTTTTGGCAAATTAGTCTTTAGCTTAGGTAAGCTCCACCTTGTCACGCAGCTGCCCAAGTGCTAGTGCTGCCACGAGGGGTAGCAGGAGTGTGCTTCCTGGAGAAGGAGGCAGAGCAGGATCCCAGAACGGTTGAGGTGGGAAGGGACCTCTAGAGGTCATCTCCTCCAGCCCCCTGCTCAAGCAGGGACACCTGGGCTGCCCAGGACCATGGCCAGATGGGTTTGAATATCTCCACCACCTCTCTGGGTGACCTGTGCCAGCGCTCGGTCACCCTCACAGTAAAAAACTGCTTCCTGATGCTCAGAGGGAACCTCCTGTGTTTCAGACTGTGCCCATTGCCTCTGCTCCTGTCACTGGGGACCACTGGGAAGAGCCTGGGTCCGTCCTCTTGGCACCTTCCCTTCGGGTATTGATACACGTTGTTGAGATCCCCCTGAGCCTTCTCCAGGCTGAGCAGTCCCAGCTCTCTCAGCCTTTCCTCGTAGGAGAGGTGCTCCAGTCCTTTCATCATCTTCATGGCCCTCTGTGGTACTCTATCCAGTATGTCCATGTACTGGGGAGCCCAGAACTGGACACAGTGCTCCAGGTGTGACCTCACCAGTACTGAGTAGAGGGGAAGGATCACCTCCCTCGACCTGCTGGCAGGGACAGGGACATTGGGAGTATTTTTTTTTTTTTTGCTGCAAGGGCACTTTTCAAGCTCAATTTCAATTTGGGGTCCACCAGGATCCTCAGCAGCCTTCTCTGCAGAGCTGCTTCCCAGTCGGTCAGCCCCCAGCACATACTGGTGCCTGGGGTTGTTCCTCCCCAGAGGTGGGACTTTGCAATGTTCCTTGTTGAACTTCATGACGTTCCTGGCAGCCCATTTCTCCAGCCTGTCGAGGTCCCTCACTTGCTGCTTCTCCCTTGTGCTCCTCTCTTCTGGTAGCTGCTCACATCTGTGTAGAAACTACAGTGGGTCACCAAGATTTCCTGATTCTGACTGGGACTACTGGAGCGTTGAAGTCAACAAGCTGTTGCAATATAGCGCGTATGGTGACAGCCCGATTCTTGCTGTCGTGTCGCATTTGACATAAGCGGTGTGGCTCTTCAAACTCTGATTGTGCAAAAACCTGTTGAATCTATTGACATAATTACACCTTTTCTTTCTGTCTCGGATGCCAATTGTTGCCAGAGCTTTGCCGATGTTTGTCGAGTATGGTAGTTCCTATTATTGCTTACTCTGATACCAGATTTTTAAGAGCTGAATAAATAGTGACGTGATAATATTTTCCCAGGGAAAAAAAAAAAACAACCCAAAAAAAAGGTATTTCACAGTGACTATTGTACAATTGTATCAGCTTTCTGCTTTTCTGTAATAAATGACTTTTTCTGATTTTGAGGCGTAATATTTGTGGCAGCCAATGTTCCAGATCTAAAAATGCGAGGGCCTTGCAATCCGTGCAGGGACTGCCAAGGAATTTCCACCGCAGCTAATGGTCTGAGAAGGAGGAAGATCTAAATCCTGCCAGGTTTAGTACTTCAGGCGGTTAGTGTGCCAGTTTGACACGGCGCATCTCACGTCAGCACCACAGCGCGCTGGAGTGAGTGTGCCCTCCTGCAGTCTTTAAACTTGTCTTGACCAAAACATTCCAGGAGTAGCAGCGGGGAAGCAATTCCCAGCCCAGCATCCCAGGAGTAGTACGAGAGGGGAGCACCCTGTGCAGGGGCACCCTTTGGAGGGGGGATCCCAGCTGGCAGAGAGCGGTTGGGCACACCGGCCTCGTGGGCTGTGACTCCAAAGAGGACCACAGGGTGACCAGGTTGCTGGAAGGGATGGAGTCTGCTTCGGGGCTGGCTCCAGGGAAGGGACCAGAGAAGCCAAGATGCTGGCTGAGGAGATGGTGCACAAGGAAGAAGAATACGGGTGCCCAGGGACGTCTCTTCCAGCAGAGAGGTTGCGTCATACGGTGTGTGTGGATCTCCAGAATGTTTTCACAAGACTCCTCAGCAGAGAAGGCACAACAAGGAAGGACCAGGGAATGCAGCAGAACCAGTGGCACTGGGCAACTGGCAGCAAAGTGGCTGGGCGACATGGACAGAGCTGCCACCCTGGCCTGCCCACCGAGGCTGGTCGCTGCTTGGGAGCGAGGCCCTGGCACCAGGGTGATGGTGGTCTCTGTGAAGATGTCCTTTCCCTGGCAGCCAAGCAGTCAAATGTCAGGAAAGGTTAGGAAAAGGCGTAAGGAATAAACCAGAGAAAGGAGCAGGTTCACAGTCAGCTCCTCACACGATTTGGGCCAGGGTTTTGAGGGGCACCAAGCACATCCCCTCCCCTCAGCATCACCATGGGGGGCTCTGCTCTGGCGGGCCTCACGTGGAGGGATGTGGGACCCCCACACACACACAGAGGTTGCGGGGACCCCCCACCCCCACCCCCCCACACACACACACAGGGGCCGGGGGGACCCTCATGTGGAGAGACGTGGGAGACACC